ATACTCAGCATACCCTGTATCGAAAAAGAGATGTAGAAGTAGTATTTGGTCCTTATGCTTTTCTTACTAACCCCAAGAATACTTTAGAAGCACTTAAACCCTAAGTTGCTTTAAAACAAGGTTAAACCCCAATTTTTAGAGCTGCCTTCAATTGTTCTTTTTCAAATGTGAACTAAAACCTCATTAGATTAAGTTAGAAGTCCAACATTTTCTTTACCTTCCTCTGTCATGCATTTCCAATGTCTTTTTTCTGTTTGGCTTTCTTTCCTTAGGCTCGTTTTATATAAAGCACTTTGAATTATGTTGTTTCTGAAATATGCTGCACAAACAAATTTTGCTTTCCTTTGCTTTATGATGTGCTCTCATACACGTTTTTTAAAATCCATCTTCTCTTTCAATCATATCCCTGATCACATTTCTTTTAAAATTCCAATATGAGGGCTGACAACTCACAGTAAAATATTTTTAGATGCCTTCTGAGGCGTGTAGCACCATAATGCTACTTTTTAGAATAGGCTTAAAACTTTCCTTTCGATAAAGCTTATAATTAGAGTGGCTCAAATTATCCTGAGCTAGTAAATCTTTTGTTATCCCGCTATAGGCTCTGGCTGCTGGAAGACATAGAGACCACTTTACATCGTTCTGTTTCATTGTATCTCTATTTAGCTCATTTTGTACTTGTTTCTTCAACCCCTGACGTTTTGTTTCTCTGCTTTTCTCATCATGGTAGATTTATCTGGTATGTTCCAGTTTGGCTGTGACACCACATAACCACTTGACTCTCACTGCATGCATAATAAGGGATCACTGTAGAATCTATGAGTAGATGCAATCAGCTGATTTTTTTTAGATAGGAAACCTATAACTATTCTGATTGTATTGTCTCTGTAAAGTGACAAAGAGTGAGAAAGAGGCATATAAATAAACTGAAGTAGACTGAATTGAATAATATTGGTGGAAGCAACTGAAAAATGTAGTTTCCATGTTAAGTAGGGTGACCAAACGTCCGTATTTCCCGGGACATATCCGTATTTCACGTCCTGTCCCGGGTTTTTTTTAGAAAGTGAGGAAATGTCCTGATTTCACTGCGCACAACGCTCCGTGTGACGTAATCCCTGAGCCGCGTCAGTGCGGGCAGCCCTGTTCTTAATCAGAGGCTCTGTTCGAAAACCTAGGACGCATCCTCCAAGGACGCGGTCTACCTAGACTGGATCCTTCGAAGTCCTTGAAAATAAGGAGGCCGGAAGAGTTTTGGCTGTAAATTCGAACAGTTCCTCCCTTCAGCGGGTTTTACCGCCGTATGCTCTGTTGCTTAGCAACCGTGAAAGTTGACACACAAAGCAGGAAAAGAATGAATACCGAGGTTTTCAAAACTGTTTGTTTATGTATTTATTTTTTTAAAAGTTAAAGTGAACAAAGACTTCACTCACAAGAATCCAGAATGGAATAAAGATTCCAACCACCGGGAGCAGGAACAAATCAAATCAAATGTAATGATAGAAACCTTAGTCAGTTAAATAACCTGCTGCTGTCATTCTGCACATCTCTGATGTTGCTGCTATTTTCAAATATCCATTACTGTAAAAATGTCCACAGCTGCATATTGGTTATTAATTCTCCAGTTTTATATTGTTAAAACACTTTACAGAATTTTATTTTTTATATTTTAAAGCTACAGTGTGTAATAATTACAGGGATATACAGTCAGAAATGTAATATATTATACATAACTATGTTATTTATCATCATCTACGAGCTCAGCCTCTTAACCTTAATATTTGCGTTGCCTTAGAATTCGTTATTTATATTTACATAGGAGCGGGTCTCGCAGCCGTGGAGGCAGACATCTTTGCGCTACGGCAGCATTATGAAAAAAGCAGCTAGCCAACAAACTAGCGATTGCGAGATCGCCCATTACGCTCGAAAGTAACTATGGCAAGTTGAGAGAGATGAACTGAGACTGTGCTGAACACACAGACTAATGAAATACTATCTGTAAAATTATCTATGTAAACAAACCTCATCACTTGAGAAGGTAGGTGATGCGACGTCATGGAAGACATTTTGTCCCGTAACGCTCGCCGTACTGTTGGGGGGGAGAAGCGGTGGGGGGAGATGTTCATGTTGCTGCGGTCTGCAGTCTGGACGTTAGATGTCGCTGAAAATTACACACTGTAGCTTTAACTCTTCCCTATTATTTTATTCTTAGACATTTTTCTAAGGTCCTCATTTGTGTGACCATTTTCAATAATCTTTCTGCTGCTGTAAATTTGCCCATTGTAGGACAATAAAGGGATTTTCTATTCTATTCTATAAAAGGGGTAGAGAGATATAAGTATATCTAAACAATGTATCTACAAAATGTATCTGCAAAATCTCTAATATTCAACAACAAAAAATACTTAGTTAAGCATATTGTGCAAAACAACAATAAAAAAATTAAACTCCTATCAGATTTATAGTTCCCACTCTGCAGATTTATTAGAATCTGTCCTTGAATTACAGCCAAACCCATTTACACAGTAACAGATTAAAACCTTTAGATAAATGAAACATTACCGCCACATATCTGACTCTATAACCATTAAAACAACTAGTAACAAGTAACATTTCCTCTCATCACGGAGCAAATCCCGATGATGAGACATTTGTTCTTTCAATCAAACCCCCCCCCCCCCCCCCCCGCTCCAAGGTGTCCTGGTTTTCCCAAATGAAAATATGGTCACCCTAATGTTAAGGCCTCATAAATAGGTGTAGATAAAAAATGATCTAAAAGGAGGAACCCGGTCTTAGAATAATTATTACCTGGTGCAATATCCTGCTGATAGTACCCTTTAGGAGTTGGGGAGATTGGAAGGACATATTGTGTTTTTGACGTGGTTCAGTTGGCACTAAAAAGCCAAAAACAAATCCAGGATGTATCCAATCCTGACTGTTACATCATCACTAAACTGAAGCACTGACATGAGGCAGAATAAATATACACGTTCATGCTGTTTGGGAAAAAGACTGGCCCTTATTTGTGATGGATTTAAAGCAGGATGTTTACATACTGTTTTATTATATTTTCTTATGTGGTCATGTTATTACAAACCTGTTGTCTGTTCATCAGCTGAGGAACCAGAAGGAGTAAGTTTACCCTGTGGAAGACTGACCATGTGTTTCCCGCCAGTAAAGCGGTCCTAAAAATGAATCACTGTCAGTGCTGCCCAGATCATACCGTCCTCATGGGTCACATTTTAGCTGGTCTTGGTTCAGAGTGTTTACAGTCCTTACTGTGTGAGTGTCTAGTTACTGCTTCTGGCATGTTAGTCTAGCACAAGAAGCACTTTGTCCCTTTCACCCTCCGTGTGTAGATTTTTACAGCCACTCACATTAGGAGTCACCTTCCAGAAAGTGACGAATGAACTTTAATTAATCTAAAAAAAGAAAGGCTATTAAAGCACTTTCAAAGTGCGCCTACTGTTGTTCCTGCAGCCTGATGGTGCCTTTCTTTCTAAGCCCATTCCTACAAGTTGTGACAAAAGATTAACATTATTCTCCTGCTACCATCTGCGTTTGTTCTTGAATACTTATTTAATCACCACAATTAAATCCTTGCAAACTGTGAATGGCCTACACCACTGACCTTAAAATCAGTATCAAGATAGCTGTGCTCCATGCATGCATGAACAGTTGGGTGTGCTGGGAAGTAAAGAGTTTAATTACATACAAACTCATAGTCCCTCCCTTCAGACATTGAAAGTGGGTGTAAATTTAAACCCCCGCCAGCTGCTACTGAACCCACGGGGTTCTATATCTGGACTAAGGGTGTGCAAAATAATCGTCAAATCGATGCATCGTGATTCTAATTTTTGTGATCTACTGAATCGATTCTTGAAGGCAAGAATCGATTATTAAAAAATAAAAATGAACAAATAAAATACATTAATGGTTGGCGCACATCAATCAAACCAAGTGGAATACAACTTCCAGTCCAGCAGATGTCGCTGCGGATGTGTTGACGCCTGCTGCTTTGTGTCATAAGCATGTCCGGACTGATTATCCTCATTTTGTTATTTTAAGTTTGATGAATCCTAAGATCTTTTTGTTAGTGTGTCCATGCCAGTAATAGTAATATTTCTGTCCAGTATTTGTTTTCATGGCAACACCTCCAAAAGTAATTTAAATAAATACAGCTATGTATGAATTCAGTTGCTTTCAGTTATGTATCAATTGAAGACACTATCCAGATCATACACAGCCAGTCAGCCACTGGTAAGGGCTGTATCTTTTTCTTACAGTGTTCAGTGAAAATATCCCAATGCATCGCAATATTTCAAGTATCGTGATGCATCGTGATAGAATCGCATCGTGGCATGTGAATCGTGATTCGAATCGAATCGTGACTTCTTTGCCAATACCCACCCCTAATCTGGACTATAAACAAATACTGAGATTATAAGTTTGCACCTTATGCAACAAATGACAACAGTAGAAACAGTAGAAAAATGTTCATATTTCAGTCAGTGTAATTTTCTGTGCAGTTTAATAAAAAGGGTTACGAAAATGAAAATTTGGAAGTATAGATATCAGATTTATATCACTATTTTGCTCATTCGTACTTTGATGCCAATTATAACTGGGTTTCTAAAACAACTGAAACTATATTTAAAGCGATTTTCCACTTCATTCCAGGTTAGAAGCCTAGTCAAGTATCAAGTGTTTGTCTCTGTAGTGTCCATGTGTTTATATGTGTATGCCTAGAGGGTGGTAACACGTAGTAGGGGGCTGAGTGAGAAAGAGGCATCAAGCTGTTGTTACATAAAATCAAAACCTAAATAGATTTCTCATTCATGCTGTATTTTGCTTCAGGGTAAAATATTTGAATACACCCAGATTTAAAAACCAACAACAAAAGTAGTTAGCTGAGATAATGCAACAGAAAACACCAAAGAGAAGAATTATTTTACATATTAGAAAGTACACATATGTTATGATGTATCTTAAAACCTTCTTACCTTTCCTATGTTTTATTGAGTCACTCTGCTCTGATTCCTCTCCATTTAAAAGCTTTGCTCCAGGCTTGGGTTCAAAAACAAGGCTTTAGATGTCATCAAAGCAAGGTCCCCACTGTTCAGCTCCCATCATGAATCTGAATGAGCAACAGTGTCAACCTGTGTTGTCCAACAGATCTCCTTTTATAGATGGCTTATGTCCACAAATAGCATACAGACACTAGTCTGCATACTGGGAAGAAAAAAACAATGTGTTACATTCCAGGAATCCCAAATTACAATAGTTCCACCCTAGAACCTTATTTTACTTTTCTATTAATGGGATGATTTTTTATTTTTTATCAGCAAAACTCCTTGACATCCCATCAAAAACACACACATTTTAGAGATTTCTAAAAAGATATTTCCTGTTTTAAAGTGAATTTCAGAAATTTGATGGAAACTTTTATAAGTTAAATGTATCAAATAATAAATTACAGAAGACAGACTTATAAAATTAGGACTTACAGAACTTGCTTTGCTTTGAATATAGTAAAGAACAATATTTCTGCTTAAATACAAAGCCTAATTTATATAGAAAGTATCAGCTGTTTTATTATGCATCTAAATGATCCAGATCCAGGGTATTCAACAGTCTGCTGTGACCATTAAGGTAAGGTATTTTCCAATAATAAGCTATTAGGCAGCTTGAGTCTAATTCTGTTTCTTGCTTTTTTGTTGCCTGTATCTCTGTCTATATGTCTCCCTATCAGGGAGAGAAAGCAGACCACTGTTCTTATCCTTCTCATACACTACATTCTTTATTTCTGTCACGGTAGTACTTGTCAAGTTTTCTTCCTTCCTGCTCCTTTCCCCTGCCTTTCTACCAGGAGCTACCATAACATAAAGTATGGTCCAATAGCGCCACCTCTTTTCATATATGTTATTTATTGCGCAATGTCAAAACCTGGTAGGAGACTCTAGACTATGTGAGCAGATCGGAGCATGGAGTGAACAGTGGAGCGGAGCAGAAGAAATATGGTAGAGCGCAGAGCGGTTTTAAATGTAAAGGCCGGAGCAAGGATTTCGCTCCACCCCAGTTCGCTCCAACTTTATTTAAATTAAAACCTAGGCCAATGCCTATGCTGTAGTCTGTGCCTATAATCTGCTATAGTCTATGTTTCAACTTTACCACGGAATCGCCGAGATGAGGATTGCATATTGGCTGTTAAAATGTGGGATAAAATATCATAAAAACATTCATTAACTATACTTAACAATACAGAGTGGGTTTACATAAAGTGATCATTGTGGTAAAAGCCTGTTTATGAAAATGGATAGCATACATGCATTTTACGCTATTATCTGATTTGAAATGGGATGCAAAGTGGCCTTTTTTAATGTAGTATAGTAAAATAAATTAATAATTAAATAGGAAACGCGGGGCAACATGAATGTAGCGAGGTTTTACGTTCACAGCTGGGAAACAGTGCGGTAATCTAACAGCAAGTTAAATAAGACAATATACATGTATCGGTCACATCACTTAATTAAACACCATTTGTCCCAGAGCCCTGGCATAATAACATGAAGGAAAAATGTCAGAAAATGCCTTCTCCTGAAAATTTCAGGAGGGGGGCAAGAAAATTAAAGCACAAAGCGGATTTTGAGCGGCGTGTCCTGGCGCAAGTTTGAGCGGCGAAGTGAATGAGCGAATATCCTCCTGAACAGGGAGTGGAAATTGCGCAGTGCTCAGCTCCATTCACATGCTCTGGGAGACTGATATGCAAAGTGTAAAGGTGAAACCAAACTCAGTGAACGTATAATGATATGGTAGTAGTAGAAATGGGATAAAAAGTATTCTAAAGGCCAATTTGTACTTCTGACACATAGCCTCTGCAACCGTCAAATCTGTCTCTGTCGTCGTGCACCTTTAAAAAAATCCTGACTATACATCGTAAAGTCGTGAACCCGCGCAGACCTCAAGCGGAAGTGTGCAGACAAAAAGCAGCTGTGATTGGTCCTTGGTATGCCTTTCCGGCTGTCTGTATGGTTGTCCTTTTCAGTTCTGTGCCGGGGCCATTTTTAAAAATCGAGGAGTAATAACAACAATGGATTACCACAATGAAAGGTTAATCGAGCAGGTTCAGAAATACAACCACTTGTACAATGCCTCAGACAACATTGTTTTGGAAAGTAAACACTGCCGCCGGGGCCGTCGAAGAAGTTATCGTGACCAGTTCTCGAATAGGCTCCCCCTAGTGCTTTGGCAGGAAACTGCTGTGCATCCCTAGAAATTCCAGACCGACGTTGCAGATGCATACCAGCAAAACTGGTTCGCGACCAAACACAAGCAACATTTGATGTGTGCGGTTGCAGAAGTATAACCTGCCCTTAATCGTTCAACCAGTCCTGCAGTCACAGAAAGTCAAGAACATTCAAATAAAACTTAAATAAATTAGCCTTTGAAAGAAAGGACTTTGAATGCAACTTAAAGACAATTACATAAATAAAGATAAGATATGAGATGTCTATCTCGCAGTCTGTGCGAGATAGACACTCGCACAGACTGCCACTCATTTGTGATGGTGTAATGACAATAAAAGATTAAAAAAAATGCAAAAACAATATAACCAGGGTATGTACTTTTTTTAAAGCACACAGATAAAACTGCAGACAATACCAACAAGTGCTGGAGGGGAACTATTCAAACTCATTACTGTATGGAAATAGAAAAGAAATTCACTCAAAACATTCTGTGAAATGGTACCGCAGTCATATACCGTATTTTCACGACCATAAGGCGCACCGGACTAAAAGGCGCACTCTCAGTTATGTGTCCCATTTCTGTATTTAACACACACATAATGCGCACCGGACTATAGGGCGCGTTTTTTATATACAGGTACAAGTCCTCTACTACCTTTAAATACCTCTACTGCGTATTTAAAAATACAGCGGGGGCAAAACTGAGTATGACTGTGCTTTATTCATGTATTTATTACAAAGTATTAATCAAACCTAGAAGCTGGCCGTGAGACAGATGACACAGCGCTGTGATCACTCCTAAATTAACTTAAAATCCTGAAACCTGCTGACGGAATATGTTCGCTTTTATTGCCGGTATCCTGGTGCCTGCAGCTAAAATTATTTAGATGAAAAACACCTGCCAGCAGCCGCGGTGAACCCCAGGCTGCCCAGCCTACAGGCTGCTGATGAAGAGATTTCTGCTGTCAGCGCACCGCTGGTATGTGGGGGTCTGAGCGCCTCCGACAGAAATAGATAATCTGGATGAACTGACTGCAATTATTAAGTTTTCAGGTGGCCTTTCTCACTTAAAAACATATTTATACTTATTTATTCCCACTGATCACAGCAAATATAGCTGCAAGATTTAGATTATTTAGATGAAAAAACACCTGCCAGCCACCGCGGTGAAGCGGAGGAGACGCGCTTAGAGGCTGCAATTGAATTAAGCTTTCAGGGAGAAAAATAGAGCGGGAGCAAACCTGAGTATGATTGTGCTTTATTCATGTATTTATTACAAAGTATTAATCAAACCCATCAAAGTCATCATCCTCTGTTATCCTCAGCATTCCTCTGAATAAAACAGCTGCGCTAAATCAGACATGCCAGTTTCCCCTTCTTCGCTGTCAGAGTCACTTTCCGTGCAGCGCAGCTCCTCAGAAATAATGCCTGCTTTTGCGAAAGCTTGAACAACAGAGCCAGCAGACACTTTAGTCCAAGCATCTACAATCCATCCGCAAACGGTGGCGTAACTTGCCCGGCGCTGCCTTCCATTTATCCTGAAACTGTGGTCTCAGTCTGTCATCCATCGCTCCCACGCCGCTCGCAGCCTTACTGTGAACGGCCGCTTCAAACCGATGTCGAGCGGTGGAAGCTCCTTTGTCAGATCCCCCGGGATAACGGCGAGCACAGCGTTCACCCAGCCTTTTCATTTGCATTAATATCATATGTCATCAGAGCGCTGTCTGTCTCGCTGCCAGCTCCCAGATCAGCTTCTCTGATTGGTTGATGCGGCGCGTCCAGCAGCAAAACTTAAATTTTTCCATCTGAGCAGCAGCAGCGCGTTGGCGGTGCATCAGATGCTTAAACGCTCCCGACGTGCTGCACCAAAACGCGCTGCGGGACCTTTTGCTGCGCCTATACGCGCGTCAACCATTGACTTTGCATGTTAAACTCGCTGCTTCTGCTGCACCTGCTGGGTCCGGTTCACACCGATGTCGAGCGGTTGAACAGCGAGCACAGCGTTAATTTGTTTCCCCATGTTTTTCACATCAGCTGTGAGATGGGCACGCATGGAGTCACAGATTAATGGTGATGAGTGGAAAAAAAACACCTGGTCTCCTTACATTCAGCCACTCTTTCATCATCTCCTCAATCAGGTGGTCTCAAAAGTCCCAGTTACAACACACATAGGGCGCACCGCACCATAGGGCGCACCGCACATTTTGAGGGAAAAAAAAGACGTTTAAGTGCGCCTTATAGTCGTGAAAATACGGTATGTGCAAATATGTCTATGCCTCCAGACTCAGATGCACTCAGTTCAAGTTCCTATTTTACAGCAATTTCATCCCACTTATTTTAACCCATGTGTGCACAATATCATTTGACATCAGGTGAGAGTTAAAGTCTCAGTATAGTTAAGTCCACCTCATTACTCTGCAGGGGTTTCTAAAACCATACTCATGAAAGGTGGTTAGATTCTGCTCTATTCTGGAGCTTTCTCCAAAGTTAATGAGCACTAGTGGCCTTAGAGCAGCACTGAATTTGGCTTCCAAACGTAATAGATCACTGATATATAAAAAGCCATCTGACACTTTCCTCAGGTGAGGGAGCTGGCACAGACTTTTGTCTGTGTTTATGTGCCTACTTTCAGTCTGAAGTAAACACCTTTTTGAAGTGTCATGGTAAGATGAAGAAAGGTTACCTGCTCTATAGCTCTATTAATGGTAATCAAAGGCTAACATCCTGTCTAATAAAGCCTAAATATCATCTCTCATCTATCAAACACAAATCCAAATCTTGTCTTTTTAACAACTACAACTGGATGTTGGTTACTCAGTTTGCAATTAAGGCAGTGCATATTATGCGGTCTTATGACACTTGAAAAGAGGAGCTAAGCAGTTAGCTAATTGCCACCTTCATCTGAAGTGGATGAGCT